CCCCCACGCAACCCAGTAGTAATACTGATATTAATTCGCTTATAATATGACATTTACATTGCCCAAATCTGTGTTACAATAAATTGTTCTATGCGCTTTACTTTTACTTAATAGTATTCTTGAAAAACATGCATACACATGTGACATAATAATCAAATTTGGTATAGGCGGAACATTTCCGGAAAAACTACAAAGTGAATAGCAGAGTTTACTCTTTTTTATGTCATGTTTTGTTTTTTAAAATTTAAGTGGTCATAAATTACTTTCCTTGTTATTTTTTTAACCTTACAAAAGTGTAATATTACACATTTCTTTTAGAGAAGTCAAGACACCCCCCCCCTTTAGGCCTTTTCCAGACGTAAGATTATATTTGAACGACCCCTTTAGGGGTTTTCTGGGTGAATCGATCCATGTCTAGATCTACGACCCCCCGGCCTATGATTTAAAGTCTTTCACAAATTTTTATACTAGATCTAGATCTATCTACCTGGTGCTTCGGAACCAAGCAAGCTAAGTAATCAGACGATCGTGTTTACGATTGAGTTTTCTCTAGAATCTAGATCTAGAGTCTAGATTTAGCTAGGTCTAGAAACTAGAAGAAGTAGAAGATGATTCAGTCCAAACAGGACTATTGGGGAGGTTAGGTCGGGACGGGATGGTTTGCTAGACATTCTGATGGCACAAAGTGGCTATCGTGGTGGCACAAATCGATCGCGCCCGACTCGTTGCCTCAAAGAAAAACGCGTTGTTTTCAGGCGAGTCGGGCGATCACCCCGACCCGATCTCATCCGCAACGGGCACTGGGCACCCCGTAGAGCAAGTAAAGGAAGTGGTAGATCTAATTTCAGGTACGAATTACCCCCCATCGCGTCGTTATTCTTAGTTGCGGAAGAAAATGTCAGTTATTTTTACCGAAATTAAATGATTATTTTTTCCAACTTTTACAGAAAATTGCCTAAAATTCGCGAATTCACGAAAATGGCAAAAGTTGCGCTGAGGCCAAAACTTGCGTGCGCAACTTGCGGGTTGCGCGCGCGAATTTCTCTGAGGACAGGTTTCAAAGTAGACAGCCAAATGTGTCTTCTTTACAAGGGAGATCACTTAGAAGCAAGGGGGGACACTCTAGTCGTCCATGACTTCATTCACCTTTTTAATTAAAATCTTGCAGTCACCCCGGTTTACGGTATGGGAAACATTGTTGGTAAGTTGGGACGATGAGAAGGAAAAAAAAAAAGCTGGGACTGGGATTCGAAACCACGCTCAAAAAATAATGTCTGCCTCCAAACGCGGACACTAGGGCTGTACCCCGGTAGCAAACACGCTCGTGCTCGTAAGCCCCTAGTTAAAGTCACAAGCCTCAAATCACTAGGTCAAATCATCAAATCAAATCACCAGCATGATACGTTGAGTCTAGCCTCAGCTTCAAGTACCCACACCTATACGTTCTTACTACCGTCTAGACCCACACCAATTTGCAATCTGCGAAGCCACTCGTGTCTGACCCCCTCTTCCTTCCCCTCCCTGCTTGCAATCCGCGAAACCACTAACGTCAGAATTCTGAGAGAGAGAGAGAGAGAGAGAGAGAGAGAGAGAGAGAGAGAGAGAGAGAGACCCCGCGCACAGTGTCACTGCGCCACAAACTAGTCTGTTCGATTAATCGAAGGCATACGAGCAGCGGACGGCAGGCAAGACTCAAATCGCAGCAGAGCAAAGCACTTAGTCCCAAGACCTGCTTTGCGTCTCGTATTGCTTTGATAAGCAAGAGTTGACTTTAAGCAAGTTAACTTCATCAGGATTCCACTGTATCATCTGTTATTACTTATCATTATGCTTAAAACAAAAAGTGAAATGAGTTATCATTAACAAAGGCAGCGTTCATCATTATGTCAAAAATATTTTTAAAACATGGGCATCTGCTGAGTTGTCTTCCAAATCTGGGTCCTGTTTCTGCTCTTTCTCCTCTTCTTCCTCCACCTCCATTTCTTCTTCCGTTCTGTGTTAAGTCGTGTGCCTCTTCAATGCTGCAATACTTGGAAAATATTTTCTTCATCCCTTGTGGCCCCTGCACACTCTTGGACCCATGAAATGAAGCCTTTCTTGACCAAAACCATCATTTTTTCCTTGTTATTTTTTCTCTAAGCTTCTATAAAAGGAAAGTGTAATCATTGATTCAGGACACCCCCCCCCCCCCATTTCTTACACTTTCCTTTTATAGAAGTCGAAGACCCCGCCCTCCTTTCCAGTTGTTAGATTATATTGTTATTTGAACAACCCTATACTTCACATACATGTATCGTCTCCAGCCTGGTTTGAAGGGAAAATAAATTAAAAGGATAAAGACAATTTTGTTGCCAGATGACAAATAATAGCTACGACCCTTCGAATCTGATCTTCATTGTACAAGTGAATGTTTTGTTTTTTTAAATAACCGAATAAGGTCTTACAATGGGAACGTACTCAAGAACTCAAATTCATTCAAGCAGCTTTATTCTGAATTTGATAAAGACATGTTCTTTACGTGCTTGATCAATGTTGCTAATAATTAGATTTTTTACCTTCATCATTATGTAAATATAAGGTTCTGAATAAGAGAAAAAGTGTTCGTGCTTACAAAACATGAATAAAAAAATAAAAGGCATATATATTAATACTTTAGAATTACAAAGTTCTACCAGATATTTTTGCCCCTTTTTTTGAGTTACTAAGATTATGAAATCATAAACTAAATGTTTTATCTGCTCTACCAAAATTGTTAGATTATTCGGAGTTGTTATCGAGATTTTCAAATACAATGTTACTGCATTCGAAAAAGCTTGACTTGTTGTGAAACTCAGAATTTGTTAACGTCAAATTTCTTCAAACAAGGCACTGAGCGGATGGAACTTTGTACTTCTAGTTCTGGGGAAGCGATATTGTTGCTGTCCGACTCGTGCATGTGCGTACATATTTATTGATCTTCAGACAAGTAAAAATAAAATCGACATAATTTCTTTCATGTGCACGTGGTCAATCCAGTCGGAGTAGGCCTACTCGCTGACCTGTGTGTAGATCGCTGGGGTACCCGCCCTGGCACAGCCTAAGCCCGTGGAGACAATTCCCGCCACAACCGTGTACACCTGGTCCTCCAGATCACATCCACACAGCAGCGGGCTCCCAGAATCTCCCTGAAGAAATCAACATTTAACCAAAGGATTATCACATTGGACCTTACAATGGCAGGCAGGCAGGCGCGCACGCACGCGCGCACGCACACGCACACGCACACACACACACACACACACACACACACACACACACACACACACACACACACACACACACACACACACACCTTTTAGTTCACACTCGCAGCAGGGGTGGGGTGGGGGCTCCCAGAATCTCCCTGTCCACAAATGTACGGGAACACCTTGTCGGTGAACGGCTCGCTGAAACAACTTTATAATGTATGTCGCCAGAAGTTTGTCTTTTTAGGTCTTGTGTCCTTACTTGTCTAAGTTTAGTTTTTTTAGTTTTAGTAAGTGTTTTACGGCACTTGCAACACAATAAGTTCCGAGCTGCCGAAGATTAGATGAGTTGCAAGAGAGTAACAAACACAGAAGAATGAGGGGAGATAAAGACGATCGACGTTTGATAGGAAAGAAGAAGCAAACCCCACCAGAGCACCCGCCAACCACCTACACTTGTCTAAGTGGCCAGATGAAAAATGAACCTACATATTATGTTTAAATACCCCTACATTTGTAAGTGCTGGACGCTTTTAAGGGAACAAATAAGAAAATAAACAGCCCATATAGATCAGATGCCAATAACTTTTCCTCTATATTACCATAGTATTCTAGATTTCTAACTGTGCTAAGCTGAAAGCTGAGATAAACATTAAAAGGGACGCAATGATGATTCTTTTTTTTTTTAAAGACAATTTGTGGAAATGTTTCAAATGAAGAGATACATTCTTCGGACAAGATTGCTTTTTCGGACTAATTTATGTTTAGACTTTAGCGGTGTTACCAGTGAGAGTGAAGTAGGCTACATAGAAAAGAAGGAAACGAATAAGGGTATTCGATGTTTGATAGAAAAGAAGGAGACAACCCCACCCAGAACGCACCCACAGAAAAAAATGTAGTTGATGGGCTTTCAAACAATTCTATTGTCCTTTTTTTTTGTTAGTTTGTTTGTTGTTGCTTTTTTAAATGTTAAAATATCAAAGCTTTCAAATATTAAAGAGGTGGCTTAGAGCTCAAACACACAGGCACCATACACACCATATATATAAAGTGCGTCTGTGTTCAACATTATATTTCACAACTTGACATGCACTCAGCAGCAAGACCGATGCGTCCAGACTTTTTCCGTCCTCCGCACAATCTGGATTGCGTCAAGCATGCCATACGTTTTCTGGTTGTGCGGACAGAAAAAGGGAGTAGACGTCACTAAACACGCCGGCATACACACTCCGCTACACACTTTACAGTACAGTCGCACGTCGTGCAAAATGAACGATGCACAGCTTATCGAACTTGTGCGGGTAGGAACAGCGCTTTATGATTTAAAAAATGAAAAGACAAAAGTTACACCAACAGAGATTTCGTCCATAAAATGTTTTTGGAGTCATTTGAAAATATTCCAAACATTTCTCAACATCAGCAAATATTCGGGCCAACAATTTGAATTCTCCCAAAGCTCCACGGTCTTTACAAATTGGGAGAATCCAGTGACGCCGTTTGGAGGCTAGGGCTTTTCTTTTGTACCACCAAAGCAGAGATATGTCTCCCCCGGTAAATATCAGTCGAAAGAGTAAAACGCAGTGTGCCATTATCATTATCAGCGACGAGGCTCGAAAGGTAAAAAAGTGACTTTCCTTGAATTGTTTGTTTTTTGGATCTATTAAAAGTTTGAGGTCTTCTGCTTCATTTAAGATGAAAATAAACAACTATTATCGACTATAAATATTTTATTTTGATTGATTTTGGAGGTGTGTGTGGTTTGTTGTGAGCTTGGGTGACGAGGTAGAGGTATTTGGACCTTGCTAGAGTGTAGCTATGAGGTTATTTTTAGAACCATTACCCGATGGTCACCTTTGCTTCAATGTTCTTCATTCGCAACTAATTTTAGATTTTGACCCGTTTTCGAGCGTGAATGGTCTGAAATGTAAACATGTCTGATTGGTAAAATATCTGGAGTAAAAACGGTAACTTTTGGCTCACTTCAAGCTTGTTTACGTAAACAGCTGACTGTGTGGGCGTGCCCTGCTAGCTGTTATCGTCTGTTGATCTTTCAGTTTTACACTTGGATTGACTTTAAAAATTCGTTTTTATTGTGTTTTAGAGCTTTTAAAAGATTAATTAACCTTCCTCTAGGTCTCTCATAGCGGACTCCTTACCAAGAGGCCACCGAGGCGGTCTATGTGCATGTGTGTGTATGTGTGTCGGCGTGTTTGTATTGTGTGCGCGCGCGCGCGTGTGTGTGTGTGTGTGTGTGTGTGTGTGTGTGTGTGTGTGTGTGTGTGTGTGTGTGTGTGTGTGTGTGTGTGTGCTCCCGTGTGTTTATGGTGCTATTGCAAACGTAAAATTAGGTAAGTATCTTGCGCTTCCTCGCTCGAGAGCGCCATCTTGAAACCGGAAAAATCTGTATTGTTCGTATGGACCCGACCCTACGTGAACGGTATAACCGCATTTTTCTGTACATAATTTTTCTGGCCCGGAAAAAGTTTGGTCTGTAAGGAGCCTGTGTGCTTGAGCTCTTAGACATATTTACTTGTTGTGTTTTTTTTGCTTAGGCTAAGTCGTAGATTATGAACTGAGTTGTACTACTCGAGCCAATTTTTACGTTACTATCTCTGGCCTGGCTACTTTTCCCTTTGCAATAATTTTATGCACTTTTACTTGTTTCCCTTTACCTTGAATTTTCGGCTACTCTACTTGCTGTACTCAAATCTTATTAATCCTCTTTGAGTTTGAGTAATGTAGAGGAAATTGTGTCGCAAAATGTTCTGGAGTTAACTAATCATAGCTTAAGAATCACGTTTGGACGATATAGGGAAAACTTGGAATGTCGGAGCTTCTCCAAACGAGAATGAAACATCAGCCCCTCAACGAGCTACGAGTTTTTGAGAAGAGTTTACGGCGCTCGCAACGACGCAAAGCCCCGAGTCTATCCAAAAAGTAAATAGTGAAATGGTAAAGTTTTAACGCCCCTATCAACAGTGTTAGGGTTTTTAAGAGGCGGGGCGTCCTAGTTTAAGGTCCATCTCCGAAAGGACAGAGTCAAATGGGAAATTCTGGTAAAGTGCTTTTCCTAAAGACACAACGTCGGACCGAGCTGAGGCTCGAATCCCCGAACCCGCAATCACATGATTACTGGTCCGGTAGCTCAACCACTAGGCTGTCGACGCCACTGGTCTATCCAAGCATTTATGGAAAATTTCGACATACGATTACGCTTTACAATTTTGACGACTCGAATTTCTGATTTCGGTAACTTTTAAAAAAATGAGTTCTCGTTTTACACCTGACATCAGCAAAACAGTCTTACAATTGATGTAAAGGGGGTGGGGGGGGGGGGGGGGGGGGGAGTCAGTGGTTGGTTGCTTGTAGAAAAAGAGCACGAGGAAAGTATGTCTCACACGAGAGAACAATTCATCCATGACTGTGGTTTGTGAATATTATTATGTCACTGATCCCTACACACAAAAACTTTCCACTCAGTCTACGCTCTCAGCATTAATTTCTTGAGGCCATATTGGCATGTCCTTGCACCATGGATGAGAAGTTTAAAAAAATGGTGAAATGATATAGGTTTAACGCTGCTATCAACACTATAAGATAAGATACATCTTTAAGGTGCAGATCCTGGCACATTGGTTTGGTGTTCACCACGTGCACACACACACACACACACACACACACACACACACACACACACACACACACACACGCAGGCTTACAATCACATGCATAATATAAATGAGCAGCAACACAAACAATAATAATCTTAAGCTAGATACACACTCAATGTTATTCCGATGCGTGCTCTAAGGTCGTATAAATACTTGTACAAGATGGTTAAGATGGAAGAATTTTGATGGATGATGGTAAAAATGACCTTCTGTATCTTTCTTTGTTACAGATCAGAAGAAACCTAGGTCTTTTACTTCTAACTGGTGTTTTTATTTGAGGGAACAAGGGTGTCTAAAAAGATGGAATTTTTGTGTGTGTGCAAGTTGTTATGTACCATTCATCCAAGTAGGGGAATGTAGATGTTGAAATTTTACATGCTTTCCGTATTAGTCGATTAGATCATACTTTCTATGGTTGAATATATCAGGTTATTTAAGAGGCGGGACCTCCGAGTTTAACGTCCATCTCCTCCAAAACAACCGAGCCCGTAAATGGGACATTCGTGTAAAGTGCTTTTCTCAAGGACACAACGTCGGACCAAGCTGAGGCTCGAACCCACAAGAACTTTTTAACTTGCCCCACCAGGAGAACAATTTGCGGGAGAGTGTCTACGTCAGAGCTGACCTAATATTTTGGAGCACAGCCCAGCAGCACAATGACTTGCCAGACGTGGGCACACCTTCTACTATTCTGTGCTGCGATATGCTTGTGTGGAAGCAACACTGCCTTTTGAAATAAATTAATAGTTTTACTTGGTCTTATAAGCCCTTGCAATACAGAAACCTTTGATGTATTCAGTCAAGAAAAAAGCTCGTAGGCCTACATGTAATTTGAGAGGAAGAATGAGAATCATGGCATCTGCCAGCATGGTCCCTTGACATTAATTTTGGGTAGGGTTAAGCTGTTTGAATCGGAGAAAAACTTTTTAGTTTGCATGCACAGACGTTTGTTCACAAAATGTATTTATTTATTTATTTATTTATTTATTTTTGTAAAAAAATTAAATTAATTTATTTATTCCTCGATTTATTTATTTATTTATTTATTTATTTTTTTATTTTTTATTTTAAATTATTAAAATTTATACAGTCGCCTTTTCTGCCTTATTTTTACAGAAATGTAATACAGACATTCAGCATTAAATTTAATTTGGTTTTCGTCAACTACTTTGCTGTGTCGTCAATTACTTCATTCTGTCTGTCTCTGCACGCGATTAAAATGTCATGAAGAGCATCTCAGAAAAAAAAGAAAACCCAAAACTCAAGAAA